GTAACATGTACCACATGAATCAGGAAACCGAAAAGGTGTTTGATGTATATAGAGAGGTGTCATTATGCTGCATATATAGTACACGTTATTGTACTGGTTACTGTGAAATGGATATGTTTCAGTTAATATGGAAAACCAAATCTGACTTGGGATTCAAGGAACTTAAAAAAAAACAAATGAATCTGGTGTTCATGTAAAAAGAGTCACTGACAGGAAATCTGAGGGTGTGTTTTGTTTTTTTGCCATCAAAAACACAAGAACAACAACAACAAAAACCACAGGGCTGATGGCTGTCCATTAAAACCGATCAATAATGCCAGGTTCAGACTCGTTGTTTATCATGACACAGCACTGAATTCCTGGTTGCATAATGCCACTAAAATGTGACCCAATCAGATTGAAATGAAGTTTGAATGTTTCCTTTTATTACTCTTTTACATATTCTCAGCTGTTATTTTTTTATTATTATCTCTACTCAATGAAGAAAAACGTGCATATTGATTGAAAACGTCGGTGCTGTTGATACTGGAAATTAGTTTAGGGCTTTTATTTTTTATTTCATTGTATTTTTTAAGTCTACTTACAAAATGAATTATTTTGCTTTGTCGCTTTATGTATTTTTCTACCAACACTACAAATGTTTTTCTTTTTTTCTAATGCCATAACGAGTTCCTCAAGGTTGTATCGCATCAGATGGAGATTATGCATTATACTTGTGCTGTATTTTAGACAGTGTGTGTTTAATGATTGATGGTACTGGAATCTACAATTAAATCTGTGCAATCCTGATCAAATTTGCCAGCTTGTCTGTCTTGTTTATGTTTTTTGAGGTTTTATTGCTGAGGAGTAAAGTTATGTAAGCTGTAACTTATAATTAAGCTATACAGTGATTTATTTGTTTTATTTTTTTTTCTTATACTCTAAATTGATCTTAATCCAGAATCAACAGAGTGTAACAAGCTCCTGCTGGAGCCTACATGATTACGGAGACTGTACATTTTGTGCCAGGGCAATTCAGAGTTTGTTACTGGATCACATTCAGGCTAACTTCCCACCCGCCTAGTCATGTTTCAACTTTTCTTTTCTTTTTTCCCGCAGTAGAGCCATGTTAAAAGGGTGCCTCCCAAGTGAGTACAGGTGTTTGTTTATACAGGAATGAAAACTTCACCTTTCCTGGCTGATTTTATGAGCCTCCTGTGCTCTTTAATCAAAAGTCTGAGTTGAGACAGCTGCAGAAATCACTTACACGTTGGTGTGCACACACTAGCTGTCCATTGTTGCATAACAGATTTATAACCTGTTTGTTATCCCGGAAACTGACGGGCTGTCATTTATGTTTTTGATCATAAAACAGACGTGCAGTTTATCAAACTTTTTGTTTAATGGTTTTGCAGACAGGGTGTTGCATTTAGAAGGTTGGAGGAGTTAAAGAGTCAAACGGGGTTACATTTTTTCTTTAGAGTTTATTGCTGGTTTGTTTTCTTTTAGAGAAACTAATGGTTTTTTTTCTATGACTAAAATGTAAATAAGTGCGAAAGAGGCACAAACAAGAGCAAATTCTAGACTTTTACAGGGTACATGGTATTTTTGGGGGGCAATGTGACCAAGCTTAGCTAGGCTAGTTGTTCTCTGCTGATCCCCTGTCGTCCCACAAGATTCAAGTTTGTCCAAACAAGTTTTTATGGACAGCAATTATTTATCTGGTGCTCAACTTATTTACATGTTGTTCAAAGGATAATTTACTATCTATTTGTGCAGTCATGAAAAATAAAACCTTGACAGAACTGTTTGCAGTCCTACGGTAAAACAAGGTACATGCTGTTGTTGCTTCCATGGGAATTAAAAGGGTAATTGGCAGCCAGTCGCTGATACTTAAATAATAATTGCACTTAAATAACTGATCATCAGCAAGAGTGAGCACCTCTATAAAAACAACAGTTGTGTTAATATTTTTGCTGATCTGGGACATTTGGTGTGTGTTGGTGAGTGCACATCTCAGCAAGCTCACTGCAGGTTCAAACCTTAGATGTACAACTCGAACTCCAGGCCTCAAGGGCCGGTGTCCTGCAGGTTTTAGATCTCACCCAGGGTCAACACACCTGAGTCAAATGATTAGTTCATTACCAGGCTTCTGGAGAACTTCGAGACATGTTGAGGAAGTCATTTAGCCATTGAAATCAGCTGTGTTGGATCAAGGACACATCTAAAATCCCTCAAGGCCTGGAGTTTGACACCTGTGGTCTACAGGCTTGTTTAGGAAGCCTGCCAACAGCAGCATGGTTTACGTTTATAAATTGTATCCTAAAAAACTACCAGATTTCTGGAGGATTGCCCTTTGGGCAGATGAAAACAAAGTAGAGCTATTTGGCCATAATGCACAGCACCACATTTGGCAAAAACTAAACATAGCACATTCAGAGAAACACCTCATACCAACTGTCAAGCACGGTGGTGGTTGGGTGGAGATTCGGGCTTGTTTTGCCGCCACAGGAGTCAATCGTGAACTCCTGTGTATTCCAATGTATGCTAGAATGAAATGTGAGGCCAGCCTGCTGATTACTTGCTCGGTTAAGATCATTTTAACTTTTAACGGTTAAGATCATTTTAACTTAACCGTGCAGTGTCATTACAGTTCTATCACACCATTCCTAGCAGCGGGCTTCAACAGTTTGGCTGCCTTCTGTCTGAATACCACATCTGTTTTAATCTCACTCACATTCATTCAGATCTCCGTATATCCCTCCATTCACAATCTAAGCTCAGCTATGTCTAAGTTACACAACTTGCAGTCAACAGCAGATGGATCTTGTGTGAATGGGCCACATGTGTACGTGCTTTATCTTCAGCCAATGAAGGATACAAGCTTTCATGCTAATCTTGTTAATGCAGCCTTGACAGGTCTAAGCTGTAATGACATAGGATGCGTCTTAGCGCCACTTCTTGCAATATTTTGAATTTCTTAGCAGGATAAAACCACCACAGCCCTTCTTATGCACACCAAGCTTGTATAGAGCACGCGCCCATCTGTGCAAGGCATGATATTTCTCGTCACCTTCATTCAGTCACCATGCACTTTGTCTGTATGTTTCACTCTCTGTTACTGTACAGAAGAATATTTGCTTCCTTCTGCAGCTTCCTGAAATGCAAGGCGACAGACGATATCAACCTTCAGTGGGTTACTGCTTTTGTCCCGTCCCTGCAGTTATACCTGAAGTTGCTGTGCAGCTGCACTGGGTGCATTAACCACAATATTGTCCGCTTCTTTGCTCTTTTTTAACTCATTTATCATCTGTCTTCTCATTTCAGCTGAAGAAAGCCCACGGTTTTCCTTCCCATTCATAAAGATTATGCTTGGAGCATTGCCACACATGACTTCACTGGCACTATTTAGTCTTCAGATTTCACTTTGTATTATTAGAAATGGACAAAGGGTTGCGTGGAGAACGGCATATCAGTAATCAACTACTGTCTGAACTGGCCGTGCACTGGCTAGCTTTCTATAATCATCCAGCTGATCAAGAACAGGATGTTCTGACAGAGTGAGATAAAATGCTGAGAAGGGAAAGGCACCTCGCCAACACTCCTCCTTTGTTCCCACCTGACATGATACCCGGCGAAGGGTCCTTCACTTTCAGAGTGATTTATTAATCAGGTCGGATTTATGAGCTTTAAATACAGATTTTTAAATGTAATCATTTCTCCCTTTAAGTTGATTACAACAGAGCCAACTACAAATGTGAAAAACAAAAAGAAATCTTTTTATTATACAACTGTACAATCTCATTACAGACTAAAGAAACACTCAAGATAACATCACAGCTGCAGCATTGTGTACTCAGAAGCATAAAGCACTGTATTGTTACATTAAGCAGAGTTAAATGTCTTGTTTGTGCCAAAAATCTACACAAATGTATATATTTCTATTAAAAAACGCATTTGAGGTAAAGGTAATGTAAATTGTTGGATTTGAGGTATTTCTTGACTTTCGTCATGCTTTCGGCTTTAATCTTCAATACAACTTTTTCTGATCTTATCAAGCGAATTACAGCATCAGTGGAACAAGTCCACAGACATCGTGCTTTTCCGCCTGCTGTAAATGCATTAACACCTAAAATCAGTTGGCTTTTTTAGCCAGAATTTCATTCAAATGCATCAGCAGCAAGCCAACAAATGCTCAAATCCAAGACTTTACAGTCAGTCTATTAGTCTCCAGTGCTCACACAGCAATTAGATGAGTCTATAAACAAAATTAACAAAGTACTTGTATTGTCTCAAAGCCAATTTCATCAGCATTTCTGTAACAGAAAAATAGGATTAAAAAAAAAGTAAAAGGTAAAAGAAATTTTACTGGCAACATGAGTGTGGAAATCAAAAGAGGACATAACTGGTTCGGTTCATTACTGAAATTTAAACAAAAGGAGAAGCAAATCCCTAATTCAACACTGATCGAATATTAGCTTTATTAACTTTCTCATACATGAACTGGGCAGCAAGAAGAGACAAGTGTTCCCTTCAGCATGTCTGCTCGGGGTACTCCTTGTTTTCCTCTGCCTCGTTCTTTAAAACAGCATCTACAACAGGTTTCAGAATATAGATGTATCACATTAGCACTTAAAAGGTACTATTTGGCTTTTATCAGCCTTATTCCTGAGTATCTACACATATATACCTTATATTAAAACAACAACAACTGCGTGTTAGTCAGGTATTTAATGTTAGCAGATATGAAGCTTTAGGCTCCGCTATTAGCTTATTTATTGGCAAGATGTCTGACCTTGGCACTTTCTGTTTCGTCACACAAAAATGGATTAACTCCAATCTTTAGTGCTTACCTTCAAATGTCACGTATTTTTGCTTTTACAAGTTCGATATTGCACTGGAAAGGGTTTGGAGCCCTAATTAGGAAAATAAACACAAAGACAAAGAATACAGAGAGAAAGAGAATTTAAGAGCTTCCTGAAAATCATATTTTGTTTTTTGTTGTTTTTTTGTTTGTTTTTTTTTTGTTTTCTTTTAACTGACGTCACAAAAGAACAGCAAAAAAACAACAACAATAAAACAAATTAACTGACAGCTTTAACTTTCTGCTTTTCAGTAAATTGGAACTCAGGTAACCACAGTGTGACTTGCTTTGAAAGTCCCGTTCACAGCTGGCGATGTGCTGCAGTCCTCTAATCTGATGAATCAAAGGAGTGTGCCTAATTGCTGGCTGGCATGTGAGACTGTTTTTGAAGTTAGATGTGAGATTGATCCAGGTGAGATGGCGTCTACAAGATGTACATCTTCTTTGATTTGGATACCAAGGCTATTTCTTTCTGGCCCTGATTAGAATAAGTCAGTAATCAAAGGCTGTTAAATCAGTCTCGACTCTGGTACATGAAACATTTTAAACAGTGTATATGAGATCAAAAAGCAAAAGCAGTGGCCTGAGATTTCCAGACATTAAATATGGTGCTCAGCCTCAAACAAAAGTTTCTACGTTTTCCTCTGCCTTCATGTCTTTTAGCACCTTATAGTTTGAATCTAATTTATTCTTTTGTTTGTGAGTCTGATGAGGGCTGACTGGTAGCTGCTTCCAGCAACTTCATATCATCGCGCACAGACACGGCTACAGAGAAAGGGTGAGGCTTTAGAGTCAGGCCATAGCTGTAGCCCAGTTTCACCGGCACTGCAGGGTCGGCTGTGATGTTGCACTGGTGCGCTATGAGAGCTGTGAGCAGGAACAGCTGCATCTTGGACAGCTCCTCGCCGATGCACCGCCGCTTGCCCAGGGAGAAGAGGAGCACGTTGCTGGTCAAGTCTTTATTCAGCATTCCGCTCTGGTCCAGGAAGCGCTCTGGGTCAAAGATATCTGGTTGGGACCAATTGCTTGGGTCATGGTTGACGGACCACTGGTTGATGAAGATGACTGTGTTCTTTGGTATGGTGTAGCCCATGATGGATGTGTCTGTGGTGGTGGAGTGGGGGATGGTGAGAGGGACGAAACTTGTGAAGCGCATCACCTCGTAGATGAAGGACATGACATAAGGCAGCTGCTGCTGGTCCTCGATAGCAGGGACACGGCTCCGGTCCACCACTTTGTCCACCTCCTGCTGGAGACGCACCTGTATCTCTGGATACCTGCAATCACAGGTGAACACACATTTAAGGTGACTACTGCCAGGATAGAAGTTAAACACTCTTGCTGGTGAACAAAGTGGAATGAAGAATCTTTTTCGTTAGAAAATGGTTTCTGCCGTTAACCCCCCCCCCCCCCCCCACCTGCCCCCACCTCCAAATAAAATGAGGTTTAATTTAACTGCCTACACCTAGATGCATGACTGGTGACCTGTAGGATGTTAACAGCTTAAATGGATCATGTTAGATAGTCCATAGACACGAGTAGTCCTTGCCACAACTCAAGCAGAAAAAAAATAGTGGCTCTGTAATCCATCCACTGATAAAAGTATCAGGCACAGGACAGATTAAATGGCACTAAAGATTTTAAAACGCTGACTGGGCATTTTGTTCTCTTTCATTGTGGTGTGAAGTTTCAGCTTATTACTGCCAGTACACGTACACACACATACACACACACCTCCAGTGGGCTGTTACATAACTCAAATGCAGCTAAACTTCATCAATTCTGCAGAGCCTTAGCAACAAGTTGAAGATAAACTGTCATTTATCATGCAGTTATTTATCCATATAAATAACTCCTTCTATAAAGTCATTTTTTAAAATGATTAAAAAAAATCTTACTTGACGAGAATGAGGATGATCCACTGTAGGGCAGTCGACAGTGTGTCTTGACTTGCTCCAAACACATCCCCGACTGTGGAGGACACATAGTCTTTCTCAGAAAGTCCCATCTTATCTCGTATTTGGTCCAGCGTCACTATAAAGGCATCAGTCATGTCTCTGATGGTGCTTGAATCGATTGTTTTTCTGTGCTCCACAACTTTATCTCGAATGAATTCACTAAACTCCAGGTTGAGCTTCTTAAAATTTTCAAAGATGGTTTTGATGGGGTTGGGGAAGTACTGCAGCCAGGGCATAACGTCCACTATGCTCCCTGCGCCTACAGTCTTGGTGAACTGGTCGTTCCTGCCCACCACCTGCTGAAACTCCTCATCTTCATGGGAGTACCTCTTCCCAAAGCAAACCGCGCTCATTATATTGGCAGTGGACACCACGACGTAGGTCAGGGGCTGGAAGTATTTGTCCTCCTTCGTTTTCCTCAGAAACAGCCGCAGCAGCTCTTTGCCCTCGCTGAGCACGTGATTTTCAAATGTCTTCTTAGTTTGGGGGTTTCCTGTGGAAAACATCCGGACTGTGGACTGGGCCACTTTGCGGTGCATCTTCCACCAGCCCGTGGAGTTGCCAAACGCCATGCTGTTCCCATTGGAGATGTACTGGAAGGAGGTGAAGTCCGGTCTGCCGGAGAAGTGGGAGCCCTGCTTGACCAGCGCCTGTTTGATTGACCCCCCGTTCAGCACCACCACCGTCCGACTGCCGAGCTTGATCTGGAAGACGTCGCCGTATTTTTTCACCATGCGCGTAAAATACAAGTGCGGTGCGTTACCAAGCTGCGGTGCGTTCCCGATGACCGGCCAGGCGAGGGGGCCGGGCGGCCAGGAATGGGACCGCTGCCGACACAGCCACCGAAACAGGTGCAGGGACACCAGCAGAGTCATGCATGTCACTAACAGAGCCCTCGGAGTTGCTGGGCTCACTCCCTCCACTGTCACATCCATGATAGACATGCTGCAGGCAAGACATAAAATCATTGTTAAATGCATATGTTTGCAGATTAAAGGCTTGAAATATGATACCCCAATTAAATGGGGTAGAAAAAAATGCATAATTAAATACCTAGTATTTTCCCTCATGGCAAAATATTATATTTTAGAATTTTTCCAAAATATTGAATGCGCCTGATCCAAAAAATAAAAAAATATATTCTTTAAAATAAAAAAATAATAATAATCAAACACGTTTCTCTGTGAGCCGAAGGACAGCACTAGAACCTCGACAAATAAAATAATCATTCCAAAAAAAAGAGAGTCCGGTTAGCGCGTATCTCTCACACACAGCCTGATTTAAAGTAACAGACTGTGAGCAGCCTACTGTGCATCCACAGGCAGTGCAGCAGCTTGTGTGGGAGATCCGTCCTCTCTGTCCGCAGCCTGCTCATGCTTTGAAGCCCCACAACACCAGGCGAAGTAATTTATCCCCACACAGCGCAACATCATGGCTTTGTTACAGTGGGCAGGTTTGTTGCAAAAGGGTGTCACCCCCCCCACCAACACATCTCTCTCTCTCACTGACTCTTTTTCTTTTACTCTCTTTCTTATGATAGCTCACGGCCAGGCAACGGGACCTAAACAATACGTTAATTATATGACTGGATATTCTTCTAAGAAAATATAAAAGCAGGACTGCCAGTTGCAAGTCCTAAATATAGTTTGCCATCTTATTATTATTATTATTATTATTATTATTATTATTATTATTAGTAGTAGTAGTAGTAGTAGTAGTAGTAGTAATAATAATAATAATAATAATAATAATAATACAAGGAATAAGTAGAATAAGTAGTCTTTCTATGCGGTATTAAATAATATGGCTTCAAGTCAAAGTGCTTGTAACGACGTGCTTGTCTGCCTGAGGGAATTATGTAACACCCGACACAGTCTCAATCTTTTCAAATAATTTATATAGTCCGGACCCGCTAACTGTTAACTGCTTTACTTTTTTATGAAAACATAGTTTTAAAAAAATATTTTATATTGTATTTAAAATATATATACATTAATATATATTATATAAATATATTGATCAAATCAAATGATATAATATATTTAGTTTTGGAAACTGGTCGCGTGTGATCAAACAGCCTGTATGTTGCAAATGTAGAAACGCAGTCGGGGTGATGGGGACGCTTTAAAATGCTAAAGGGATCTAGAATCCATGTTTGCTGCTCCTTTACTCGTTTTGGTGTTTCGGCTTTGAGAATACAAATTCTTGTTTCTACAAACTCCCGGCTCACATGTCCGTGGCGCAGGGCTCGGTGTGTTGGCGGAGTACTTCTCTTGATGCTCGAGGGTGACGGTGTGAGGGTGCGCTTTTCGTTCGAGCCACCAGGAGGAGGCGAACCCCGTGTTGTGACTCATTAATTCCCCCCAATTAACAGCCATGCCGGGCATCGGAGCTGCTCTAGCGGCAGGTTATACACCCTCGTTTCTCTCTCAGATCTTCAAATGACAAACACGTGTGGACGAACGGGGACTTTAGATCTACTGTCCAGATATTTAGCTGATTCTGGTCAAGTCTTAAATGACAGAAATATTTGTTCCCCTCTATGATTTAATCTAAAAAATAGAATCCGGAGTTCGGGTTGATTTTATAGCTCTTCTATTAAATTCTGTGTAGATTTAGTTTCAATCTGTTTCAGTTTTCTTGAATCTGCAAGTATTGTTCAAGTGTCAGAGCCCCGCTCGAGCCTTCCTGCTAACATCTGGTCTGGTTTTGAAATGATGTGATTCGGGAAACCCGCTTCAGCACCGCGGACAGCGGCTCAGACGATGGCTCGTGTCCCGTGACCCAAAACTTTCACAGAGAAGCTGCAGGCGCAAATTTGAACTGTTTGTTGTATCTTCAAATTAAATTCAGAAATATCCAACTCCATCAAATACGGCCAGTTTAACTCCATCTCTTTCCCCCTTTTTTCCTTTGACGAAATGTAATCCAAATTATTAAGGACCAGAAAAAGGATTTTACAATACTTTTCGTATATATTTACATGTCTAAACTATGTTATAGAAGTACACGCAAAACCACATTTATACAAATTTCATTAGGATAGAAAATTACGGGTCAATAACACTTCAAATTTCCTTGAAAATTCTGCGTTAATTAAGCGTATACTTTGTCTGTGGCCTAACATGATATCTAGAAAAGGGTCTGACGACCTTTAAAAAAATATTTCAATCACTTTAGTCCATATGGTGTGTTTTAATTAAAACACACATTTTCTCATTATAAATAAAGTGTGTAAAAGCAGGTTGTTAATGTAATGTTAATGTATTCAGATGAAATGAATGTAAAGGGCGTAGAGACGAGACCCTCCACTGCTGCTGTTGCTGCTGCTTGAAAAACTTCTCATAAGGTGACAGTGTGTGATCTTCTTTTATTCCAATAAGGAACCGATACACGAGGGTGGGGACAAGTCAGTGAAGTGCCTGGCCCCTCTCCTTGGCTGGCAGGACCCGGCTGTTAGACCAAGCACGTCCATCCGCCTTTTATTCCAGAGTGTAAATAATCCCAAACGTGACCTCATCATAATCATTCTAAACACAATATACCCTTTAAAACGCACAGTTAATACAAAAAACTGGAACTGCTGACTTCTTTTACTCAGCAGGTTATAGGTTTAACTCTGTACCACTGAATGGTGAGAGGAAATGTGGACTCATTTATCTGCTCTTGTAGGTATTTCCTGTTGCTGTTAGTATACAAAATGATAAAAAATGTTACCGCTTCTTTCTGCCACGAAAGATTGAGGCAAATGGGATTAAATGGGGTATCATAGTTACCACTTCCTTCTTCTGAAGCCTATATTAGAGTCGAATCCCTTTTTGAAGAGTGACGGTTTCAGCTTCAAGTGAAGGGAATTTACCAACATTACTAAATCAAAGCCTATTGGAGATTTTTTTTTTTTAAAAAGACAGAAGGACCTATTACAGAGACAGTAGGAACTTTAGGAGGCCAAATCAACAGTTTAAGCGTAAAGTTGCCGTCATGAATCTAAATACAGACAGTTTATTTGTTTACTTTAAGATTCAAACCAAACTAAAAAGCCAGGCTAAACATCTTAAAAAAAAAAAGCAAGGTGAAAATGTACAGAATAATCCTGTAGTGTTTAGCGCTACATTTTTAGTCAAATCCTAAAATAAAAACTCTTGAGACTGCTTCACAATGCAATGACAATGAGTTCAAACATATTGAAAAACAAGCCAAGTTCTTCTTAAGCAAAAGAAATCAAATATTCCTAAGTGTCCAAGTCAGTCACTCAACATGCCTTTCAATTACAGTATATATCAAGAAACATCCTTTATAATCTTTATTTGTCTAAAAAAAAGTTATTCATCAATGATCTATCTCATTAACACATCATGTTGCCAGTATTTGAAGTCTATATTTTTAGTAAGCAACCTTTAATCTTTATTAGTATCACTGCATTTTCAAATATATTGTATAAACTCTGAGTTACAAAGTCCTTAAACCTGAAATTTACCAGTGCATGGCATTTAAGTTATTCCTTTCAAAGCTGCAAAAGGAAATACAGGCCTACACAACTCTGCAAGCGTTTCATTGAAGCTTCTCCTTGCTAGCAGCTCTGATACCAGTTTCCCTTCCTGTTTGACTGACAGCTCAATTGCTCATCGCGTGTGAGTGAGCATGGAGCTCGGGGAGGAGCTCACAAAGGTGTGTGCAGGTGATGATTTGCTTAGACGGTAAAGGTACAGTTGCACTGTAAAGTTCCAGCCTAGCACAGCACAGCACAGTTCTACTTCCAGCAACATTTTTCACATTCAGAGCATAGTTTTGTGCAAGGAAAATCAAGGTAAGACATACCAGGAAATTGCATAACCTGCAAACACAAATAATTAATAAACTAGGCCATTACACTGATTTATGTCTGTTATTTGTGGAGCAATGCACGACCTTGGACGAAAAGAATGCCTTTTAGAGCACTTGTGGGCCTTATCATGTTCTGTGAATCAGTGCTGTGAATAGAGGGTACTGCCCAAGGCTATTCTAAAGGTGCCGTGCAGTCACGCACATGTGCTTCATCACAGGGGTGACAACTGAAGGGAAAGCTGCTGACAGCTTCACTAAACACAGGTCTCCCTCCATCTGCCTGTCATGGATAGGCACAGAAAAGAGCTGCTAAGCTGGTAAATATATAGATGAGGCTTGGTAAATATATAAAGATATTTTATTCCAATCTTGGCATGCCCATGAGAGTTTACAAGTCATGCTTGAATTAAAACATCATCAGATTTATGGTATGAAGATAAATGTTATCTTTGAGATATTCTCATAAAAATGAACAGATGGATTAGTTATGCTGATTATTAAACCCTGAAAGTAATTCAAAAGGCAGTAATTCATTGTGTCACTGGCCAGTTTTCTGTGATTTATAACACAATAGGGGCTTTGGCATCTACAAGGACTAGAACACAATGCAGTTCTTGGAAGTGGACTTGAAAATAACCCCACAGAAACTCTACCTGAGTCAGCACTTTGTTCTGAGTTTTTAGTGCAGCAAGAAAACAGCTTCAAAAGAACAACACTGTTTGCTCAGAGCTGTATGCAAAGTTATTTAAAAGCTGCACAAGTCAATATTTTTGTGTAGACAGTGGATCAGGTGAATACTTTGTAAAGTATTCATGTAAAATGACTTAAGCTGCATAAAGCATTTTAACATCATTGTTCTTGCAGTATAACTTCCTGTTACCATTTTGATTCAGTCTTAGCACTTTTACAAACCTTTGAATAGCAAGCCGCTAATATAAGTGAAAACGCTCTTAGGAACTGTATATATGCTGAGGCATAGTAAGCAGCTATATCATGAACATAATGAAACATCTTACTGCTAGATATTTCCTCCAAGGAGTTGGTAAAGACCAGCCCAGAGGAAAAAGAAAAAGGAAAATGAATATATATGAGGGATTGAAAAAATGCTCAAAATTAAGGTCAGTATTGCGCTAACTGCTTTTGTTTAGCACTGTTGTTAATGGCATTATTCAATTACATCATTAAAGTTGCTTTTACACATTACTCTACAGCCCCAAAGAGACCAAAAGTATAATCTAAAACATAAAAACTATATTTACAGATTCCTCTAAGGAGCAGATGTTAGCATGTTTTACTAAATAAGCTATATGATCATGCTAACAGCTAAAGGCACAATCACTTTATTTTAATTCTTCCAAATAGCCAAAAGTAAATATAAAGATTTTGATTTAAGTTATTACCAGGTTAATATGTCTAACAACAGTAACAATAAATTCCCAAAATAGTTATAATCTTCTACTATGCTAAGCATTTAGCATTTAGCTGACATTAGCCTCCATAGGACAAAACTGTGAACACTCCATTTCCACAAGTGAATTTCC